GTGTGACAGAGAGAGAGAGAGAGAGAGAGAGAGAGAGAGAGAAGTCTGTCCGGAAAAAATCCAGCCGTTATTAATTTAACAAGAACGGTTTGTGCAGCATTGATGTAACCTGGAAGCCAAGGAGAGTGGACTGGAATGTACACACATGAACAACGACGACTTCACTGTACTAGTTAGTGGGGGTGGTAGACACCATTGAGTGAGCATATGTGCTGTGTGGCCATTGCATTCAAAATGACTGAGCAAGTAGAGCAATGAATCTGCATCCAATTTTGTGTTAAGCTTGAAAATTCCTCTGTGGAAACCACTGGGATGATTCAGAAGGCGTCAGGTATGGGCAACTGGTGATTGGCAGCTTCATCACAACAATGTACCCGCTCAGGCAGTGTGTCTCACACAGAGTTTTTTAGTGAAACATCAAATCACTGAAGTGACTCAGACCCCCTACAGCCCAGATTTGGTGCCCTATGACTTCTGTCTTTTCCCAAAACTAAAATCACCTTTGAAAGGGAAGAGATTTCAGACTGTCGATGAGATTCAGGAAAATACGATGGGGCAGCTAATGGCTATTGGGAGAACTATGTGAGGTCCCAGGGTGTCTACTTAGAAGGGGACTGAGGCATCATTGTCCTAATGTACAATGTTGCATGGATCTTGTGTCTTCAATAAATGTCTCTATTTTTCATAGCACATGGCTGGATACTTTCTGGACAGACCTCATCTATATGGCACATAAACATTACATATATGTATATAGTGTATATATATATTTATTTAATCAACTAAGATGGGGAAAAGTGTGGGTAGAACAGATTTATTAGGGACTATCAGGGGTATAGCTATAGACACTTAAGTTTGAGACATCAATTAATATCCCAGGGAAGGTGTTGAACAGGCAGTAGGATACAGTACATGTCTGGAGTGGAGGGCAGAGACCTAGGCCACAGATAAAACCAGAGAGTCATCAACACTGAGTCATAACTATATGCACACCTAAATAGAGGCCTGGAAAATATTTACCAAAATTTGGTGGTGGTGGTCTGTCGGTGATTTGGTTTTAGTGAATTTTGCATCTTCTTTAAATTGCTATACTACACATGAATTTCTGTAATGAATATGTATCTTTATCAACATAAAAAATTAAAATACAGAAAATAAAAGTAAAAGAAGTTTGTTCTTTATTAGAGTATTTTATTTTTGGGGGGGGGTTTCATAGAGACCTGTCTGATATCCTGTTATTTATCCCAGCTCCTTGACAACTAGCTTGACCCTCAGTTTCCTCATCCATAAAATTAGGGAGGCGAACCACACCAGTAGATCTCCATACTGAGTTTATACCAGAACCTAACAGGGTGCTTAAAAAAAAAAAGTAGATGCCGGATTGCAGTCAAACCTACTAATGATCTCTATTTTAACATCAGAAAATATACAAAAAAATGGAAACCAATGAAAATTCATTTAACCTCAGAATGTATTCCATGACTTTTGGGTTTAAAAGTATAATGGCTTATGCTCATTAAAAAGAATTCTTTTTTTTTTTTTTTGAGACATTGATTAATAAGACTACATAGGTTTCAAGTGTATATTTCTATGATATGATCTGTATCATTAAAAAGAATTCTTATAGCAGACTTTACAAATGGAAGTACACATTAAACAGATTTCCAGAAATTAAATAAATATTTGTTCTAAATTATTAAGTGTTCCACATTCAGATGATATACACTGATTCATTTTCTTGCTCAGTGTTTACAATGTATTTAAATATGTGTGCACTTAAAGAAATTAAAATGATTCATATCAAAAAATAAAGAAAATTAATATCAATTCTATACAATCTCTTACCAAAAGAAGAAATGGAAGGAGCATGTCCCAATTAATTTAATTAAAATTACCCTGATACTAAAACTAGATAAGTAAAGGAATAGAGAAAGAGAGGGAGAGATCTACTATCTACAGACCAATAACTCTCATGAACATAGATGCAGGAATCCTTAACAAAAACTTGCAAATTGAATTCAGCAATATGTAAAGAGAATTATACAGCATGATAAGTGAGGTTTATTCCAGGGATGCAAGACTGGTTCAATATTTGAAAATCAATCAATGTAATCCACCATATTAACAGGCTAAAAAAAAAAAAATCACGTAATCATACTGACACAGAAAAACTGAAAAATAGGAATAGAGGGGAATTTCCTCAACTTAATTCTTCTAGCAGTCGACAAAAAAAAAAAAAATCAAAAAATACCAAAACAACTACAAATAACATCATATTTAATGATGAAAGACGACTTTCTCCTTGAGATTGTGAACAATCAAGGATGTCCCTCTCAACACTTATTCAACATAGTACTTGAAATTCTAGCTAGTATAAGAATGCAAAAAAAAAAAAAGGAAACAAAAAGCATACATATCAAAAAGGAAGAAATAAAACTATCCCTATTTGCAGCTGACACAGTTGTATGCTTAGGAAATTTCAAAGAATCTACAAAAAAACACCCGGCTAGAACTAAGCAGTGAGTTCAACAAGGTCTCAGAAAACAAGATCGACATACAAAAATCAATTGCACCCGCTTCATAGCATATACAAGTATTAACTTAAAAGGGACCAAATATCTAAATGTACAGCTAAAACTACAGAATTCTTAGAGGAAAATATAAGTGTAAATCTCCAGGTCTTAGATTAGGCAGTGGTTTCTTAGGTGACATTAAAAGCACAAGCAACCAAAGGAAAGAAAAATAAAGTGGACTTCATAAAAATTAACAGATTTTGTGCATTAAATGGGCACTATCAAGAAAATGAAAAGGCAACCCACAGAATGGGAGAAAACATTTGCAAATCATATATCTAGTAAGGGTCTAGTATCTAGAATATACAAATATAAAGACCCCTAACAACTCAGAAATGAAAACACAAAAGTAAAAATACTTGAGTAGACATTTCTTCAGAGAAGGTATACAAGTGACCAATAAGTACACAAAAAGATGCTCATTATTATTTGTTATAAGAAACATAAAAATTAAAATCACAGTGAGATATCACTTCACATCTTACTAGGATGACTCATCAAAAAGACAATTACATGTGTTGACAAGGATAACCAGTTACATGGAGAAATTGGAATCCTCATACATTGCTGGTGGCAATGGAACTGGATGCAGCTGTTGTGGAAAACAATTTAGGGTAGTTTCTCAAAAAGTTGAACATAGAGGTCCCATATACCCAGCAAGTTCATCTCTACATGTGTACCCAAGGCAATGAAAAGATATGTTCATACAAACACTTGTACATCAATGTACAGCACTATTCGTACTAGCCGAAAAGTGGGAAAACCCCAAATGTCTTTCAGCTAATGAATGGATATAAACAAAAGATGGTATAGTCCATGTAATGGAATATTATTAAGCCATAAAAATAAATGAAGTACTAATATGTGCTACAATATGAATGAACTTTGAAAATACGCCAAGTGCAAGAAGCCAGATGCAAAAGGCCACATATGTTGTAATTCCATTTATGTGAAATGTCCAGAATAGGAAAACCCATAGAGACAGAGGTATATTAGTATTTTCCAGGGCTGAAGGGAGAGGAGAATGGGGAGTGACTCCTGTTAGGTATGTGGTCTCTTTGGTGGGGGCGGGGGTGCGGTATAAATATTCTGGAATTAATAATGATGATGATTGTACAACCTTGTGAACATACTAAAAATCACTGAATTGTACACTTTAAAATGGTGAGCTTTGTGGTGTGTGAATTATTTCTCAATAAAAAAATGAAAATTTAAAAATTAGTTTTATTATGGCCCTGGTCAGGCAGCTCAGTTGGTTATAGCATCCCCCTGATATGCTAAGGTTGCAAGTTTAGTCTCTGGTCAGGGTGCATGCAAAAATCAACCAATGAATGCATAAATAACTAAAACCACAAATTGCTGTTACACTCTCTCTCTCAATCAATAAATAAAAAAAGAAAATAAATTGATTGCATTATGGAACAGATGGGCTAGAGATAGCCACACGCAAGAACTGATGTGCAAAAACTATTCAATGGAGAAGGAATAGTCATTTTTTAAAAGATTTTATTTATTTATTTTTAGAGAGAGGGGAGAGAGGGAGAAAGAGGGGGAGAGAAACACCAATGTATGAGAGAAACATCTACTGGTTGCCTCTTTCACGCCCCCAACTGGGGGCCTGGCCAGCAATCCAGGCATGTGCCATAACTGGGAAGCAAACCAACGACCTTTTGGTTTGTAGGCTGACACTCAGTCCTCTGAACCACACCAGCCAGGGCAAGAATAGTCATTTTAATAAATGGTGCTAGACCAATTGAGTATCAATAGGTAAATAAACAAACCCACCAAGCTTGCCTTAAATCTCATACCTATACAAAAATTAACCCCAAATTCACTCTAGATTTAAATATAAATGGAAAACTAGAAAACTTTTAGGAGAAACAGAGAAAAAAAAATCTTTGAGACCTACAGTTTGGTGAAAGGTTTTTAGGGATGACACCAAAAACATGATTTATAAAAGGAGAAAAATTAATTAAGTAGACTTCACCAAAATTCAGCCTTGTGACCTACGAAGGACCCCATTGAGAAGATGAAAAGACAAACTACGGACTGCAAAAAAATATTTTCAAACCACGTATAGGACTCATAGCAAAACTCAACAAGCAATCTAATTAGAAAATGAACAAAAGCACTACAGACATTTCACCAAAGAACATATATGGATGATAAATAAGCACATGAAAAGATGTTCCATATCGCTGGCCAATAGGGAAGTGGAAATTATGACCACAATGATTTATCACTATTAGAACGTTTAAAATAAAAAATAATGACAATCCCAAATGCTAGCAAGGATGCCCAGAAACTGGATCACACATTGTTGGTTGGAATGTAAAATGACACTACTCATCAGTGAAAAACAACGAACTATTGATACACATAACTTGGATGCACTGTGTGAAGTTAAGAAAGCCAAACTCAAAAGTCCACATTTCATATGATTCCATTTATATAACATTCCGGAAGTGACACAATTATAGAAGAGAACAGAATAATGGTTGCCAGGAGTTAATAATGGGTGGAGAGGTAAGGAATGACTATAAAGAGATACTACTAGGAGATCTTTGTGGTGATGGAATATATCTGTATCTTGTTTGTGATGAAGTCTACACAAATAAAACGAGAGAACTATATAAACACTATACCAATATCAATTTCCTGGGTCTCATATTTTATTATAATTATGTAAGATGTAACACTTAGAGGAAACTGGGTAAAATATACACCCAATATCTCTATTATTTTTTGCAACTTCTTGTGAATCTCTAAATATTTTTTAAAAAATTTCTTTAGGCTATATAGATATAAGCATTCTAGGATTGATAAGTAGATAATATTCATGTTTCATTAATTAAAAACAATCCAGTGCCAAATATGGAGGCATTTCATTTACCCAGAACCAACAGGCTATGAGGTGTTACACAGAATTTTCCAAGTAACATAAACTTACCTGTCCAAACAACATTAGAACATTTAATGGGCATTTAGCCAAAATGTATCATAATTGTCCATGGGTTTTTTTGCACAAAAACATGAAGGCAGAATTAAACACCAGGGTCAGCTCAGGGATCAGGGGGCCTACCAGGAAGTTGGCTGCAAATATTGACAGTTTCATTCCTTTGAAGAAAATCAGGTTTACAGAATAAGAATGAGCAAGTCAAATCTTGGCACACCCAAAAACCCTTCACTAAAGAAAACTCTAGTGGAAAACACCTCTTCAGCTCCACCAGGCCCATGGAGCCCTCTGTTGCAGAAATTCTCCAGGCTCTGCCAAGGACAGCGGGGCCAGGAGCAGGGTCTCAGTGTCCTCGGGCTGAAAATCCTTCAGTCACAACTGTTGTTGAGCTTTCAGTAAAAAAACATATCTTTGCACCCATTTTTCCTTTGGTTGTGCACAGACTTTCTGGCCTCTTTTGGTAGTGAATCTGTGGGAAAGAGATGCTGCCGGTCAATTCTGAGGAGGAGCGGGGGGCCCGCTGCCGGGCTGGCAGTCCAGCCTCGCCGCACCCCTGTTGCCCCGTCTCGGCTCCCTTTTCTGGCCCTGGCCCTCCCACCTCTCCCACACACACTTTCTGCTGGAAACCCCACTTCCAGGCCCACCTCCTCACACAGCATTTTCCAGCAGCTCTAGTCCAAAGCATGTAACCCATATCCTGCCTCTTAACATTTTTATTTTAATCTAACAGCTTTATTGAGACATAATGCACACACCACACAGTTCACTCATTTAAAGGGTGTAGCTGTCATTCAGTGGTTTTTAGTGTATCCATGGATGACACAACCTTCACCACTATCAATTTTAGAACAATTGCCTCACCCCAAAAAGGGAAACATATGCATATATCACTTAATTCTTTTTTTTTTTTAATTGAGAGAGAAGGAAAGAGAAAGGAAGAGAGGAAGAAAAAAACATGAATTTGTCAGTCCACTTATTTATGCATTCGTTGGCTGATTTTTGTTATGTGACTGGGAAGCAAACCTGCAACTGGAATCAAACCTGCAACCTTGGCATATCGGGAGGATGCTCTAACCAGCTGAGTTACCTGGCTAGAGCTGCCACTTAATTCTTAACCACATTATCATGGGTTGTTTGCCACAATGCCTGCATTCCTTATATATGATTCCTGAACCCTGCTGTGATCTCATTAAGAAGCGGGGTTGTGGTTAATGTCCCTAAATCTCCTCCAGCCTCCCTGAGAGTACTCAGCCATGAAGAGAGCCTAGATCTGGTTGTTCCAGCCTGGAGCACCTTGTAGTGCCCAGCAATGTTTATGGTGCTCCCAGGAAGGCCCTGGTACATGCAGGGGAGAAGAGCCAAGAGAATGGGAAAATAAGAGAGGGGAAGTGCCTTCTGTATGGATGAAAGCATGCCACTACTCCTGTTGCGAGATGGGGGTCTGTGTCCTCACCTCTTGGATTTAGGCCAGCCTTAGGGACCGGTCAAACAACAGAGTGTGGGAGAAGTGACACTATGTGACTACATAGGTGAAGTCAGAAGAGATGGTGGAGCTGCTTCTTCGTTGACTGGATTACTTATGCCGGAGCCTTGCACCACATTGTAAGGAGTCCTACGACCCAGGTCATCAAACTGGGAGGGAGCCTAAATTAGCCCAACAGAGGGAGCACCCAGAGAGGCCCCAGAGAAAGACATGCCACCAGCTCTAGCTGTGATTTCTGATTGATTTCAACCATCCAGGCAAACCCTTCTGGAAATTCAGACCCACAAAAACCATAAGAGACAAGAAACAGGTCATTGTTGCATTAAGCCCCTAAGCTTTGGGGTAGTTTGTTATAGATAACTGATATAACATCAATAACTATATAAGCCTCTCATCTTCTTTTTACAAATGAGGAAAATTGACTTGCGCAAGGTCACACACACAGCTTGTGCTTGAAAGTGACAGAGCCACTGCTTTGAGCCAAGTTCAGGGCTCTTTGCCGGCTGTCGGTTAAGTGTTGATGACTCGAAAGCTCCAGAAAGCCAATCAAGACACAAAGGAGAAGACCCGAGACATCCTGAGCCCCAGAGTGCCCCCCTCCATTTCTACGTACTTGAATATTTCTTTCCCGCCCTTTACTGTCTCAAAACAATGGCGTGCAGCTCAGCCTCCGAAGCCCCTCTTTTCCCCTTCCGCACCATTCTCTCATGCTCGGGAACCTCGTGTCCTGGGAAGCAGTGACCTCCCCCTCCCTGTGTATTTGCACTTAAAGAGGTTTTTGTTGAATGCTGGTAACTTCAGTTGTCACCCTGCCCCTGCATGTGGCAGCGATGTGACCAAATTCTTCCACTTACAGAACTTCTGTTGAACGTCACTGTGCATAGGCACAGCACTAAATGCTTTGCCCAAGTTACCTCATTTAGTCCCGCCAGGGGCCCTGTGAGGTGTGCGTCACCTCTCCTGCTACCAATGAGCCTGGCATGACCTGGCTCCTATTTATCCGTCTGCCACGTCAGAGATATGCTCATCCTCCTGCTGCTCCCCTGCTGTCCCCTCTGCCTGGCACATCCAGGCTCCTTCCTGCCCCTTTTACCTGGGCCACTCTCACTGATCTTGAGGGTCTCAGTGTAAGTGTCACTTCCTCGGGAGGACCTGATATTGAGTAAGGCCCTTCTTACTCAATGTGACTATGATGAGGAGAGGCAGACTGTGCCGCCCCAAAATAAGCCACTTTAGCATAAAGATTATTTTGTGCTAAAGACACTTAAAAAAAAAAAATCAGGTGCAAGAAGGGCTCTTTGACCTCCTCCTTTCTTCCTGGAAACAGGAGATAAAACTCCCATGTAAAAAATGTCTGCCTTGTACCAGGAGAAAAGAAATTTTTTTTTTTTTTTTTTTTTTACTAGAGATAGGGAGTTAGACCAAGAAAATTTTGTAGAAACAGACTTTGGTAAAATAACTCTTATCACCCTTCAGCTACCCCCCATAATTCTAGCTACTTTTCCACAATTGCCTCTCTTTGTTCAACTTCATATAAATGCATTTAGCTTTTGTCATTTTTTTTTTTTTTTTTTGGTGGTGGCGCCTTCATTTTCCTATGAGAGCTCCCACGTGCATGTAAAAATCTATAGGCTTTTCTCCTGTTCATCTGTCTGTATCAATTTAATTCTCAGGCACAGCCTAAGAGGGCAGACATAAAAGTTTTGCCTCCCCTACAGCGACAAGCTCCCTCCTGCTCCCCTCCCTGCTGTCCCCTTCAAGCATCCATCACTAGCGTGGTCATCTATTTTGTGCAAATGTCTTTTAATGCCCCCTTTCTTCTGCTAGTTGTAAGGTCTATAAGGGCTGTCCTGTTTTCTCTTTTAAACTCAGCACTTAGCACAGCCTGGCACACAGCATGGAAACGAGGACACCAAAGCCCAGAGTCACATTTGTTAGGGGCAGAGGCAGGGTGAAACCCACGTTACCAGGTTTCCATCCTGAGGCTCATCCCGGCACTGCAGGGCGGGGGTCTGCCTTCTACCCACCCAATTACATGCTGGCAGGTAATTTTAGGGCTGGCAGGGACCCTAAAAGCCCCAGGAGACATACTCACATCACAGCCTGCTGGGGGCAGCTGTTCCTAGTGTATTCATAGCTTTGCACGAATCTCCAGGGAAGGGTCTTTTGGGTGAATTGGAAGCAGCAGTACTTGGCCACATTGCTGCCACCTACAAAACATGGAGAGGAAAGAGATAGGAAACATTCCTTTGCTTCTATACCCAGTCATCCCAGGAAGGGAGTTGGCAGCTACATACGTGTGGCAGCTCCGAGGTGGACACTCAGGATGAAAACTAGGAGTGCAAGGGTTGCCGCGGGGAAGCTCTTCATGGCACTGCAAGCCGAGCCCTTCACAGCCTTCTCCCCAATTCCTCTTCTCCTAAACAGACCCTCTCTTATGGAGCTCAGCGTTCCCTGGAGATAATTCCAGATAATTGTGTGGTTGACAGTTTGACCTTACTATAAATGAGGAACCAGAAACCAGATACCCTTAAGGAGTTTAAATAGGGAGGCACTCTCATTTGGGGAAGGGGAGGAGCCAGCATGCAGTTGAGATTCTTGGCCCAGGGCTGTGTCACCATTCTCTTGCTTGAATAGCAAAAGTGGAGGAAATGAAGGAATATTTACAGCAAACTGGCTTAACTCCAATACAATTAGTTGTTCCAGATAAATTTCTGGCTCTTGGGCTGAAGGTTTCTTTGCTTTATAAACACTGTTTATCTCTTGGTGAGGTCCAGGCAGTCTCAGGACATGCATGAAGGGCAGCCTGACCATGACAAAGAACGTCCAAGAACAGGGCTCCAAGCATAGGTCTCCTGTGCTCTTAGTGTTACCCCTCACCCGCCACAGGGTGCCAGAGCTGCCTGGAGGCACTCGGAACGATCTCATCTGGTTTAGAGGATCAAAAGCCTGATAGGGCACCACAATTGCCTAGTGTCCAAAAGATAGACATCTTCCCAGTCCCTGCTTTACACCTCCTGAGTCAGGCTCTTTGCCGGGGGCAGGGAGGGGAATGGAGGGTACAGGAATCTATATTTTAACCAGAAAAGTGAGTTTTAAAAAGGGGTAGTGGCTTCTGCCAGAAGAGTCTTAGGGAGGAGGACAGGATTTTTAAATTCTTGTTTCATGACTGCACTCAGTCATTCACACCCATGATATGACCCTGCACTTTAAAAATTTGAATTTAAGCCCCGGTTGGTGTGGCTCAGTGGCCGGATCATCATCCCATAACTGAAGGGTCCCAGACTCGATTCCCCATCAGAGCACATACCTGGGCTGCGGGTTTATTCTTGGTCTGGGTGCAACCAATCCCAGGTTCAGGCATGTATGGGAGGCAATCAATTGGTGCTTCTCTTGTATCCATGTTTCTCTCTCTCTAAAAGAAATGAAAAAAAAAAAAAAAAAGTCCTCAGGTGAGGATAAAATAAAATTTGAATTTAAGGTTAAAAAAAAAAAAAAAAAAAAAAAGACCACAGTCATCCTATACCATAGACTTACTCCAAGCTGGCTGGGACCTTCGAACACCTGCCCAGGCTGCATTAACTACTCCGAGTGCACGGAGCTCACTGTTGAACTTGGCTTAACCTAGGGCAGCTCTGACAAGGTGTCTCAAAGCTCCCTTAAGTTCTTTTAAAAACTTAGCTAAAATCTATATTCCCATTGCTTCTACTTATTGACCCAATTCTAAGCAAAAACGCCTAGATGTTTTTGGTAGATTTTGGCAGACTTGAAGGCCTTTGTTTCAGTTTGGGTTTCCATAGAACAGGCCCCGAGAGAAGGATTCCGGTGTAAGCAGTTCATTTGGGAGGTGATACCAGAAGGTGCCAGTTGAGGAGAGGGAAGCCAGGGCGGGGAGAGCAGGTGCCAGTACAAGACAGGTTATCAGACAGGCTACCACCACAGGCAGCTGAAGCTCAGTTTCACTGTGGGGTTCTGGGAGCCAGTGCAGAACCAGCACGAGTCAGCCAGATTACGGGGTGAGAAAGTGGGGATGTTACCATCATCCCCCAGCTCCCTCAGTGGCATTTGTTGCAGGCTGCATTTTCCACTCCTGGCTCATCCTCTGAGCAGGCTGAGCAGGCTCTGTGATTAGGAAAAAGGCCCTCAGGCTGAGTCCAGGGGTTCCTCAATGAGAAGTCTTTGGCTCACAGAGGGAACGAGGAAGCTCTATGGGTGAGATCCCAACAGCACTTTCTACAACCACTATCATGTTTGCTCCTGAATGTTCTTTTCTTTAGACTAAACTCCCTGTTGTCTTCAGTTGGCTCCCAACCATCCTGGCAGCCCTAACACACCAGTTTCGACTTTAATGAACAGCTACAGTGTGCTGGGGACCCAAATGTTTCATAAATGGGATACATAAACACTAACTATAAGAGGGTGATAAATAGTTGGTAAGTTGGACTACATAAAATTTGGAAGTTTTATTCATTAGAAGACACAAATAAAAGAGTGAAAAGTAATCTTCAGTTTGGAAGATTTGTTTTCAATACATCTGTCCTGGGTTGAATAGCATCCCGCCCAAAATTTACAACCACCCAGAACTTCAGAATATGACCTTATTTGGAAAAGAGGGACTTTGCTGTAATTAGCTGAGGAGATTATATTGGATTATGGTGAGCTCTTGCGATATTGTGATTTATAATAAGAACATATAGTTAGTCTACATCCCCTGGCACACAGCTCCTAAAGCTCTTGTAACTTTCTGAGTGGTAAAAGAAACGGGAGCATCTTCTGTTATAATATTTGTCTTTTATCCTCAGTTTGTGAAATAGCACCAAAGCAATGAAGGTGAAAGGAGCGTTTTATTATTCATAGCAAGCCCCTTTCAACCACACCTTTTTATTTTAATTATGTAATTTATGGAAAGCCCCTAGGTGACCACAGGATGTGGACTGCTTGCCAGGGGGACCGATCTTGTGATCCTAAGGTTGGAATTTTCAGCCCACCCCTCCAATCTCCAGGGAAGGGAGAGGAGCTGGAGGTTGAATTAATCCCTAGTGACCAACGGTTTAGTCAACCTTGCCTACCCAATGAAGCCTCCACAAAAACCCCAAGAGAACAGAGTTCAGAGTATTTCTAGGTTGGTGAACATGCGGAGATGTTGTGAGTGGGGTATGCCCAGAGAGGGCATGCACGGAAGCTCAGTGCCCCTTCCCTGTCCCTTAGCTTCTACATCTCTTCCATCTGACAGCTCCTGAGTCAGCTGGATACAAAAGAGAAATATTGTAGGATGTCATGATTATAAAGTACCAAACAAGCAAAACTAGCCTATAATGATAGAAGGCAGAACAGTGGTTACTTTTGGGGGATAGCAGTGGGAAGGGAGGCTCGGGGGGCTTGTGTGCTCTGTTCCTTGATCTTGGCACTGGTGCACCCGTTTACTCTCCTGAAAATTCATTGCGCTGTACTCTTAGGAATTGCGTACTTTTCTGTTGACATAATATGTTTCAATAAATTAGTGAAGAGGAAGGAAATGATATGGTAAGTAAAACAAAACAAATAATTCTGCAGTTAAGGAAATTTTTTATTGGAGCTATGATGTTCCCATTTTCTCGCCTTCCTCCTCGCCACTTTCTCTTCAAAATTTCATTTGAGAAATTTTTCATTTCAAGGAAAAGCTCTGCTGGCAATCCTGTCAGCCCACAACCTGTCCACGCTGTTTCTGTTTCCCCCTTTCAAACTCTGCCAGAGCTCCCAGCAACCTCCAGACTCTCCAGCATCTGCCTTTGCTGCCATACTCCCTGGGAACTGAGGTTAAGATGTCTTCTTAGCTTAAAAAATTATATCTTCAAAAACCCTATTTCCAGATAAGGTCACATTCTAAGGTTCTGGGTGCACATGACTTTTGGGGGTATATGACTCAACCCGGTACAGATCTATTACAAAAATCCACCCCCGCCCCATAGACTGCTTTTCCACTCTTTTATTAGTATCTTCTAATGAATACAAGTTTCAAATTTTAATGTAGTTCAATTTATCAACTTTCTCCCTTTATGGTTATAATTATTGCATTTGTGAGATATTTGGGTCCCTTCAGCCAAGGAACATGTCTATAAATGGGCTTCTGCTGAAACTCTTCCTGGGTTCTTAGGAACCAGCTAATCTGGCCAGGGCCTTGAATGGGTCCTTAATGCCAGCCCATCGCTAGTGACCCTGGATCCTGATCTGTTCCCAACAGCCCCTTCCTTACGGTCGAAGTCCCTGGCCCTTCCAAATAGCCCACAGGCTGGGCTCCTGCCACATTTGTATGCATCACTCAGAACACTCCATCTCATATGATCTTGACTGTCATCAACATTCTCTGCTGCTGTTGCCACTCTCCTAGAATTGGGCCTACCGGTCTTCTATTGTCACAGGCATGGGGCTCAGACTGCCGGACTTGTCTCTGTAAGCCCACCTTCCTTAGCTGAGTTGTTTCTCCCCTTTCCGTTCCCCTCATTACGGACTGAATTGTGTTCTGCCCAATTCATACGTTGAAGCCTTATCCCCTAATGCCATTATATTCGGAAATAAGGTCTTTAAGGAGGTAATTGCAGTTAAGGATTGGCCCTGATCCGATAGGACTAGTATCCTTATAAGAAGAAGAAGTAGAGACACCAGAGATGCACATGAACAGAGAAAAGGCCATGTGAGGAAAATACAGCAAGAAGTTAAACATCTGCAAGGCAAGGAGGGAGGCCTCAGGAGAAACCAACCCCATGGGCACCTAGATCTTGAAGTTTCAGCCTCTAGGACTGTGTAAAATTAAATTTCTGTGGTTTAAGCCACCCAGTCTGTGGTATTTGGTAATAGCATCCTGAGCTGAGTGATACAACGCCACACCCTTGTGAGTGGGCTTCCCCTGTCCTCCCTGGGAGTTACCAGGGCTTCCCAGAAGTAGAAGCCGAGTTCAAACAGTGTGTTTGGGAGGACATCATAGGAAATACTGGGGTAGGGGTATAGCGAGAGAAGGGAAGACAGCCAATAAAGGAAGGTGCTTTGCCAAGCAGGTTACCACTGTGGACAACTGGGGCTCGGTCCTCCTGGAGATCTCTAGACATGGACCAGAGTCCTGCAACTGAGGGCAAGAAAGCCAGGCCCTCATCCTCCACCTCCCCACAAGTTGAGGGCGCTGGGACCTGCCCACTCTGTGTGCGGGCCAAGAGGGAGCCCTCAGATGGAGGATTCAGGTGCCTGTGACGGCAGATGAAGAGAACAGTGAGAATGGAAGGGGAGTGATGACAGGATGTGGGCTGGGCACCGCCAGTGTCTGCTCCATGTGGACTTGTGGGTTGGGACAGAATATCCTTTGGCTGGGGGCAGAATGCCCCATTGTGTGTATGCAAAGACTTCACCCTCCAGCCTATGACCCATGGCGCCTGCTCAGGGTTGCTTTCCTCCATCCTCCCCGCTGAGCTGGATTGCGTGGCCCTCCTCCACTCCCAGACAACGCCGTGCAGTTTTGAATG